TCTGGACGTAGCGCATGGCCGTCTTCCAATTGTCACCGCGATCCCTTGAGATCGACGCCTCCTTGAAGCACTGGTCCTTGCCGTCAATCTTCTCGCACTTCTCGCCTATCCAGATGAGCCAGTCCTTCTTGTCAGGGTGGAAGGAGAGAGGGTTGCTCGTTCCGGGCTTTGTGGGTGCCTCAAAGGAGTGGAAGTGCTCGGCGCGATCGATCGTGTACAGGACCTTCTTGGAGTCGGTGGTGAAGAACACGGCGTCCTTGAAGTAGTAGTGGGGGTAGATGCCACGCACTTCCTCGTCTTCAAGAATCTTGTCCCATGTCTTGCCGTGGTCCTTTGTTCGCCAAATTTGCTTGTCGGCTCGCATGCTGTTGCCGGCGTACTCGACCGGTCTGACAAGAATGGTCTCGTCAACTTCAGTGCTCGAGTCGCCCCTTTCCAAGTAAATCTTTTCAAAGTCCTTCAGGTCTGTCTTGAAGACGTGCTGTACCGCTTTGATCTTGCCATCAGCAGGAGCACTAGGAGTGCCGCCAATGTCGGAGCACTTTCGCTCAACTTCATCGTCCTTTTGCGCGCCGCTCTTGCGCTTGCAGGTGTTTCCTGGGATCTTGCGCCAGCCCGATGAGCCCTTGAACGTGTCGTCCGGCTTGGCATTCTTGCAGGCATTGTCAGGCGCGACGATGGGGCCAACCTTCTTACAGTTGTCGCCATCCTTGACGAAGTTGTAGTCGCATTCAAAGTCTGCATCCGTACACTCGCAGTCTTCAGTGACGGGAACAGGGTCCTTGAACTCCTGCTTCATGAAACAGTCGGCCGTCTTCTTGCGGCGGCGGTACGTCTGCTTGTGGCCCATCAGGCAGGTAGGCTTGCCATCGGCATCGGGGCGGGCGTGCCAGTCCTCCAAGTCGTCGTCCTTACACGTCCGCTCGTGCAGACCTTCAAAGTCAATCGCAATGATGTGGTACTTGGCATTATCACCACCGGTCCTGCCAACGAGAAGGAACTTGAGACTAGTCGAGTCCTGTGTCGTTGTGATCAGCTCGGGCTTGATCTTCAGGTCATCCGGGAGCGATGCTTTCTTCCAGTTCTCGCCGTGGTCCAAGGAGTATTGGATTTCTCCCACATCTTCCTTGTTGGAGTCCTTGACAGCTACCAGGATGGAGCCCTGGTCACCAAACTCGTACTTGTGGGGGCCATCGAGAGCCTTCTTCCAAGTGACACCCGCATCGTCAGAAACGTAAACGTCTCCTTCGCCAAATTTGGTCAAAGCCTTGCCCTTGTTTCCAATTCCGAGGACAAGACCAGGGGCGGGGCTGGAAAACACTCTACCAACATTGTCGAGATCAGTGACAGAATGCAGCTGCAGCTCATCGTCACCCGCCTTCAGGCCGTGGAAGTTTCGACCATCGTCGAATGTGATCTTGGTGACAATTTGCTTCTCCTTCCTGGGGTCCTTCTCAACCTCTTCATAATTCTTGACAGTGTTGACAATGAAGATACCCTGCACACCTGTGATCTTCTCAAAATCGACGTGGCCACGGGAGTTGCGGTTTGTGTGCTCAAGATTCTCAATGAAGAAAGTGCCGTTGGAGTTACTTGTGAACATGACACCCATTGGGTTTGAGGGTCTTGTGTTCATGACGTCAATTTGGATACTGTAGTTGGTGCTTTCCAAGACTGTGTAGGCCTCCTGGTTGATCTTGTGCCCATGATCGGTGGGGAACATGGCGCGATGCCACTTGATGGTGTCGTCTGTGACGAACAGGGCCATTTCATCCGTGTTGAGGGATGACGTGGCAACCATCAAGTATTTCTTGACCACGGCCAAGTTGACGACACCCTGCACTCCTCGGGTTGTATCCATGTTCGGCTCGAACTCTTGAATCTTATTATCAATCTTTTCGTAGTAGTTGTCGGACGCGAAGAGTCGCTGGTCCTCCTTGAAAGGGGAGAAACTGTCGCGGACAATGCAGAGAATCCGCTGCTTATCGAGGTCGTCCTTGCCCGTTGTGAAGAGATCCGAAGACTTGGCCCACCAGCATCCCGCAGTATTGAATCTGAGGGGCTTGGCCTTGGACTTGAAGCCATCCGTCGTGTACATGGAGACTTCTTCGCAAAAGATGCCGGCGCAGTCCATGCCGTTGAAGATGATGCGATCCGGGTCGCCGGCGTGGAAGTGGAGAATGTCCTCGCGGAAGGCACTGGTGCCGGCGACACTCTCCCACTTTTGCCATGATTTACCCTTGTCGGAGGTCTTCCAGTGTTCTTTGCCTTCGGTGAGTACGTAGGCGCGGCTCTTGTCGAATTCGTGCATCGTGAGCATGTAGGCCTTTTCGCCAGGGACGTCTGAGACCTTGTTCCACGACACGCCCGCATCGTCGGACCGATAAATGTTTCGTTCGGAGACATCGTGGTAGAGGATAGAGTCGGAGTCTTCGAAGTAGTTCAGGTTGATGGGAGGATGCTTGATTGTGGTAACCTTGATTGTCGGGTCGTCCTTTGCTTGGACAGCTGCTGTCAAGGTTAAGACAGACAGCAGGATGCGCCACGGGGCGGCAGCCTTGCCCCTAAGCCTCATGTTCGGAGCTTCGTCTGGATATTGGTGATCATCAAAAAGAACAGGTTGTCAGAGGTTGTAGGGGTCGCCCAAAAGCAATAAGATTCGTCCCGAGGCGGACGCGGGAATACAGCAGGAGGGATCGTACGGGCCAGCCCAGCGGTAATTGACTTGGGTGATTAACGTGTCGGTTGGAAAGTCGTCGAAGTCAAACACATGTCCGGAGGGAAACGTCAGCGTAGGAGGTATGTTTCGCAGCACACGAGTCGGGTGGCTAAGCTTCAGCTCCACCCTAGCTTTGACGCCACACCAGCGCATCAAAGAGTGTCGCTCGGCCCCCGGGTCCCCCCAATCAGGCAGTCAGGGTGCTCCCGGTGCGATGCCGACAGCTGTCTCCCTGGCCGCGCCCGGCTCCCTCGCCCCGCCACCCCTGCTCTGTGCCTTTATATAGATTGCTTCCCTTTCACCATTGCTAGAAGGTAGAGTTCTTGTCATTACTTCAGCGTCCAATTTTGATAATCGAAACATCGGACAGTGACTTCATCGATGGCTTCATCAGCTGCCTGGTTGGACTTTTGATCCAGGTTCCTAGCTACAGGTATCCTTATTTCCGGCTCATCCGGAGGATGGCCTGTGTTCGTACTACCTACTGCCAGTAGCATCAATACTCTGCCGTTGATCAAAAGATGAATGCGTCCCAAGGATGATCTACAACTATTTCATATGACCGATTACAGAAACTCCTGGCCAGTACGCTTCTGCTGCTGAACAAGTCATCTTGATGGCAGCTGAGGTTCACGAAAGAGAACTATCTGAAACTCTCTTTCGAATACCTTGCTTAGAGATGTCCGTAAGTGCGGTGGCAAGCCTCAAGGGACATTTGGAGACCAAAACTATCGCCACTGTGTTCCCCCGTATGATGTTCACCGAGGCAAGGAATGTTTTCAATTCTGTTTTCATTTCTTCTAAGTTGGTGATAGAGGGCCATGATTACTTAGGTAGCAAGTACACGTCGTTTGGAGATGTAATCGAATGGCGAATCGCGAGTTGATCGTGCACATGATACCGTGACATATCCTGGGCATCTTCTGAGACTGGCCCGGATCCACCTAATCGCTCGTCATCAACATAGGAGCTTTCTTTTCTCGCGTCAATTCACATCTTCAACGAAACTGCCGCATATCTAGCGGGTGCATCGAGAACAAAAGAAAGTTGAGAGCATCTTGATTACTTTCAACGGCCAGTATCACTCGTAGTCGAGTCCGGAACATCTAAAGCATTTCATCATCTTAAGGTAGCTTCAAGAAACAATTCGCAACAGTCTATCTAGTGCAGTAGTGTATCTATTTATCATCGTCTCGAGGGCGTTTTCATCGAAGTAGATGCCCATGGGTGCTGGTGAGTGGTGAAGGCGTACATTGTATGTCTCGGCATCCACAAACTCCGCTTCTCCCGGAACAAATCACAAAAAAAAAAACCCCCCGGCCGAACCCCACAGCGCGAGCCGGGTATGATCCGGAACAGATCCCTCTCCACCTAGGTGCCATAGGCTGGGCTCCGATCGGCCTCCGGGAAAGATGGTCGGGGTGATCCGGATCGGCCCCGGGATGAAGGAGAAGGCAGAGCTTGACCTCCGAGCCTCTGATACGAAACACTTGGACAGATCTAACCCGTCAATGCCAGTCGCAGATGCAGGTGAGCAATGCAACCTGGAGCCTCTACGCGAAATGGCTGAGACGCTTTGCCCCACAAGATTAATGCGTTTGGGCTCCCGTTACCCGCATCAGCAATGGATCATGCAGATGGTGGTCAAGTACGTGTGTCGGCTTGTTGTAGTTACCACTTTTCTAGAACAAAATCACGTCCAGGCGCCATAGAGACTCGATTTGTGCGCAATGCAGCAGAGAATTTTCTCATTGGAAGCAGTGCAAGTTTATATAGGCAACTACCCCATATTCCACGATTCTGAATCAGCCTTGCCCATCTGCTGATCCACGCACCATCGTCTCGCATTTCATGTCGGAAAACACCTTTATGTCAATGACTAGGCGAAGTTTTGCCCTGCTTCCATCTCTCAAATTGCACATTCTTTGACTTTTAGAATGCCCGTATAGAGATACGTGAAATTGGATCCGACATCGTCGCAAGAGGATCGGGGCTGGTCGATTATCTTGAGATCGTACATCATGCAACCCCCGAACCCGGGCCATCCGTTGTATCGAGCTGGTTGAAGACCAACTGATCCCCGAACCACTCTGTGGGTGCCGACCGGGTCAAAAGCTCTATTCGAGAGTTTCCTTAGGGCAGGTGCGCATTGTAAGGCATCCATCTGGCGTGGGTGGTGTGCGTAGGGCAACGAGGATAACGACCTGCCTTGTGCCACGATTGATCGCATGGCAGAGCTGGTTTCAAAGTAAAAAAGACGCCAGAAGCAGTGATGAAATGATTAGGCTTCCTTGGGTGATTCCTTGGCATTAGAATCCCCGTTCGCTCCATTGGCAGTTTTGGGCTCTCCTTCAGCATCGAAACCCAAAGCATCGAGTTCGCGGATAAGCTCGTTGATCTTGATGACCTTGGCGATCTGCTCGGGCAGAAGCGTCCCTCCGCCTTCCTTTTTGTCCTTGAGGTCCTTTGCCTGCTTCAGCTTCTTCTTAAGATTCCGAGCCTTCTTTTCTCTCTCGACTTCAGGGTCGGCCTCTTCGGCCTTGGCAGCGTTACCGTCGCCACCGGACTGCTTCGTATCGTCCCCTTCCTCCTCGCCGGAGGCCTTGGCCTTCTTTCGCGCTTCCCGGCGCTTTGCATTCTTATTACTCGCGGCGGAGGAGGCGTCTGGCTTTTCCTCCTTCAGGCCTGTCGCTCCGGGAATACCACCTCTTGTCGCGCGATCGCGGAACCCTGCGGCAGTGCGGTTCTTGTATACTTCGACATCTTCAGGAGGGCGGTAGCCGGGACGCACTTTGATGGCTTTACGGACGCTGCCGTCTGCTCGCTTCGACTCGGGAATCTGGCGTTCGCCGGCATCATCCGTGATGATACCCGCGTTGGATGGCTTGGTAGGTTCGGAGGGCATGATGTCGAGAAACTCTGACAGCTCAGCAGAGCTGGCCGCAGCAAGGAGCTACAAGCTGTCTGATCGTGTTCGAGGAACTGCCCCCAATTGAGAGCTTCGTCGGTTCGTCGCAAGGCTGTGCCGTTCAGGCAGGCTGGGGGTGCGAGTGCTCACCGGCGGCCCAAAGCGTTCGGTGATGGCCTGGCACTTATGCGATGCGGGAGCTGGCAGCTTAAGGTCGGCACAAGGGGATGGCGGGGTATGTGCGTGCAGCTGGGCCGTTTCGAGGAAGGCCGGGGGAGCTGCAAACGTCGGGGCAACGTGATAATCTACCTCCACAGATCGATCAGAGATCGCATACAGGGCCGGCTGAAGCCAGGTTTCGATGCGAAGCTACGGTCAACAGCTCTCACGTCGGGGTTGAATTGGCTGGTGGCAGAGAAAGCGAGCGTGGTAGGTGAGGTCGAAACAACCCCTCCTGCGTCGCGCACTGACCATTCTGGGGTCTGAACCTTCTTTTGACAAACAACACACTGATTGGTTACAAACACATTATCCACTCCGACGGATTCAGGAACACCAGACGAGAAGGAAACCAGCAAGGACAGGACTTCACCTACATAAGGTAGGTAGGTACCCAACCTCCGTACCTACGGATACACTAAGAATACCAATAATCCCGTCGGAGATCTGTCATTGCAGGCGAGCCAGGAAGAGGAGGTGGTAGGGAGGCAGCCACCACTTGGACAACCAAGCAAACTCGTGCTATCATGCGCTGCGAGACCAGTCGTAGACGACCAATCTGGTCAGGATGACGCCACGTGTGTCGCATTTTTTTTTTTTTTTGGACTGGTCAGACCTGCAGAAACCCGGCGTATCTTTCGGTGAGGAAGATCTGAGGGAGAAGACGGGAAGTACGGTGCTTTCTGTGCCATCCCATGTTAGCGAAAACCGACCCCTGTGCTGCCAGGTTTCGTACACTTCGGTTTGCCTGTCCAGCTGTGCTCTGTGCTGTCTCAAAACGAGGAGGTCTTGGCAATTATAATCATTGACAGGGTGGAATGTGGGCGACAGCACAGCGAACTGTCCCGTCTGGGCATGGTAAGTCAGCTTCCTCATTACCCGTTTCAACCAAATTATCATCCATTCGGATTGCACCCACTCTCCGATCTTGAGGCGGTGGCTTCTTAATTACTTTTTATCAAGCGCTATCTAGACGCAAAGTATCAACATCGCTTGCCCTGCAAACTGTGCGGTTCCCATCAAGCCACCTTCCAACGCTCCCGTCGGCATAAAGGCGTGGATGAATGGCGCTTCCCTCATCGGGCAGCATGATGTAGACATACAATCATGGCTAGGAGGGAATGGCACATGGCGCGCCCTCCTCATTGGGGGAGTCAGACTTCAGACCATTCAAAATCAAGAAGCGCATACCGCCATATTCAGTTGAGGGAGGCAAGGTAACTTTCTAGACTGTAATGCACTGCGCTTTGCGACACTCGCTGACGAAATGAGAGGGAGAATCGATATTAAGGGGAATTCTCTCAACAGTACTCCGTACCAAAATAACCGTCCATCTTCGTCCGTACAGGTGACCAAGCCAAGAAAACACAAGCTTCTTTCGACCAGTCAAGCTTTATGGACTCAGTCCGCGTTTGCCAAGACTTAGGCGACATATTGGTCTCGCTCTCATCAAACCAGAAACCACTTGAAAGAGCAGCCAGCGAATGCGCTCGCGACAATCGTCAGAGCCCTGCACGCTCGTTCTTGGCATTGACCGTTCCATGGTCAGCTTCCTCCGGGCTTTTGGTGGTCAACAACAGTTTTCCATCGTCATTGTTCGTCCGATGATTGGCACAGCTTGCTTGATCTCCGGGGTGCCGCGGTTTATGCACGGTGAAAGGTAGGCGTCGGGCTTTTGTGAAAAGATGTCGCGGCAGGTGAAATTGATGGTGATGCTGTGGTTGAGTATAACCAGGTACAAGTTGGTTGTGCCAAGGATGTTGTACTTACCTAGTGGGCAAGGCAGACTGGAGGGACTGAACGTGCAGTCATTTCTCTATCCTTAGGGAGTACGGTGGACAATAACATCATCTCCCGCTCCTCTTTCTTCTGTTGGTCTTCTTGTTGTTTCCTCTTCATCTCTCCCCAAATCGCTGTGCACCTCTGTGGTGGTTGTTCCTTCCCTCATATCTCAGAGGAGGCCTCCCAAAAGCATCACCGCGCCTTCTGTTGACTTAGCAGGCTCCCGACGATTTTTGGAGCTTCCGCACTTCGCTCAACTCATTGAGCAAGCGCGACAATATTCACTCCTTCCGCGCTTTACATTCACCGGTTTTGGCGACATCTGCTCGTCGCCTACACTGCCCCTCCATTGCTACCTAGTAAGGTAGTCAGTGACGACCTGGATCGAACCTCAAGACTCTTCTTGGTCCAGTCACATCTTCTTTTGACAGGCAATTCTGGAATAATACCCGGCAGAAATCAACTCAAGCATCTGGATACTGCATCAATTCGGGGACTACTCGCCACATCGCTTGATCCCCATTGCCATTATGGCGACCACCAACAAAGATGCCGAGAAAGGCGTCAATGTCTCGGATCAGGACGAAAAGAGTCAGCAACAGCCACTTGATATCAAGGCCAAGACAGCCAAGGATGAGAGCCACCATGGATCCCGCAAGTTCTCATTGGATACGGCAGATGCTTTGACTCCCGATCGCGGCACCGAAGACATGTTCAACACGAAAGAAAACAACAAATTCGCGTTCGCCCCCGGTCATTTGAGCAAGCTCCTGAACCCAAAAAGTCACAATGCCTTTTACGCTCTTGGTGGTCTTGCCGGTTTGGAGAAGGGTCTTCAAACCAACCGCAAGACCGGTTTGGGTGTTGATGAAGACAAATTGGATCATGCCGTTTCGTTCGAAGAGGTGGCTCTCAAGGGCGTTCCCAAGTACGGAGCAGCTGGAAACACAGTCCCCCAGCCTGACCCAAAGGCGAAGAATGACATTCCCATCCCACCTCCTCCGAGCGAGTATACCGGTGGCTTCTCGGACCGCAAACATGCGTTTCGAGACAACAGACTGCCGGACAAAAAACAGAAGTCATTTCTACAGATGGTGTGGATTGCCTACAACGACAAGGTGTTGATTTTGTTGTCGATTGCCGCCATCGTCTCCCTTGCGCTGGGCTTATACGAGACTTTTGGACAAAGCCATGAGCCGGGTGAAGCTCGAGTCGAGTGGGTTGAGGGTGTTGCCATTATGGTTGCCATTGTCATCGTTGTAATGGTTGGCTCGATCAACGATTGGCGAATGCAGCAAAAGTTTAATACTCTCAATAAGAAAAACGACGATCGCACTGTCAAGGTTATCCGGTCTGGCAAGTCGGTGGAAATATCCGTATACGACATTGTGGTTGGCGACGTCGTTCATCTCTCAACTGGAGACAGTAAGTCTATCTTTGAAACATCAGATCGATTCCTGGCTAACGCATGCTCTTTTAGTGGTACCTGTTGATGGCATCTTCATTGAAGGTCATGGAGTCAAGTGCGATGAGTCGTCTGCAACAGGCGAGTCTGATCTGCTCAAGAAGGTTGGCGCCGACGAAGTCTACGAGGCCCTTGACAAAATGGCGAAAGAAAATGTCGATCGTCCCGATATCGAGAAGATGGATCCCTTTATCATCTCCGGCAGCAAGATTCAAGAAGGCACTGGTACTTTTTTGGCTACTGCAGTTGGTGTCAATTCTTCATACGGCCGTATTACCATGTCTCTCAGGACCGAGCAGGAGGATACGCCGTTGCAGAGAAAGCTCAATATTCTTGCAGATTGGATTGCGAAAGCTGGTTTTGCCGCAGCTTTACTGCTGTTCGTCGTCCTTTTCATTAAATTCTGCGTTGGACTTCCCACAAACAATGGTACCCCTGAGCAGAAAGGCCAGCAATTCCTGAAGCTCTTCATCGTTTCGGTTACCGTTGTCGTTGTGGCTGTTCCCGAGGGACTGCCTCTGGCTGTGACCTTGGCGCTATCGTTCGCAACATCGCGCATGATGAAAGACAACAACTTGGTGCGAGTTCTCAAGGCTTGCGAGACCATGGGCAACGCGACCACCATTTGTTCAGACAAGACAGGAACCCTCACACAGAACAAGATGTCAGTTGTTGCCACGACCCTGGGCAAGAGCATCAGTTTCGGTGGTACCGATGCTCCTCTTGAGTCCTCGAAGGAAGAGAAGCCTAAGAACAGCACGTCGCCTTCCGACGAAACCCACGTCAACTCGGTTCGCAATGTTTCAGCCGGAGATTTTGCCAAAGACCTGAGCTCCGAGACAAAGCAACTTCTCATTCAAGGCAATGCTGTCAACTCCACTGCGTTCGAGGGCGATCAAGAAGGAGAGCACACCTTCATCGGGTCCAAGACTGAAGTTGCCATCCTCACTTTCAGCCGGGATCAACTAGGAGCCGGGCCTGTCGAAGAAGAGCGATCAAATGCAAACGTTGTTCAAGTTGTGCCTTTCGACTCGGCAGTCAAGTACATGGCTACTGTTGTCAAGCTCTCGAACGGGAAATACAGGGCTTACGTCAAGGGAGCGTCTGAGATCCTCCTCGGCAAATGCACCAAAGTGCTGGACAACCCAAGTGGTTCCGAGCTTAACGTGGTGGACTTGACTTCGGAGGACAAGGACATGTTCGCGCAAACGATTGACTCGTACGCTGGCCAAACCCTGCGCACCATTGGCTCTTCCTTCCGAGACTTTGACTCCTGGCCACCAAAAGAAGCCGTCTCTGAGGAGGATTCTAGGAGTGCAGACTTCGATAAGATTCACCAAGACATGACCCTCATTGCGATTTACGGCATTAAAGATCCCCTGAGACCTTCCGTCATCGATGCTATCAAGGACTGCAATCGCGCCGGTGTAGTGGTCCGCATGGTCACTGGAGACAATATCTTGACAGCAAGAGCAATCGCCAAGGAATGTGGCATCTACCATCCCGAAGATGGCGGCATTGCCATGGAAGGCCCAGCTTTCCGCAGAAAGACCGAGGAAGAGCTCAAGGATATCGTTCCCAAACTACAAGTTCTTGCGCGTTCCAGTCCTGAAGACAAGAGGATCCTTGTCCGAACTCTCAAGGATCTTGGCGAGACGGTTGCTGTGACTGGAGATGGCACGAACGATGCGCCCGCACTTAAGCTATCAGATATCGGATTTTCCATGGGCATTGCTGGCACTGAAGTCGCGAAAGAAGCATCTGGTATCATTCTGATGGATGACAACTTCGCTTCGATCGTTAAGGCCCTGATGTGGGGAAGAGCTGTGAACGATTCCGTAAAGAAGTTCTTGCAGGTAAGTCACATGAGTAGAGAGAGTGGACGGAATTCGCTAACAAGCCCAAGTTTCAACTGACCGTGAACGTCACCGCTGTTGTTTTGACATTCGTCTCTGCAGTCGCCAGCCCCACCCAGGAGTCGGTTCTCAATGCCGTCCAACTGCTCTGGGTCAACTTGATTATGGACACATTCGCAGCACTCGCGCTTGCTACAGATCCGCCGACGCGCAGTGTCCTGGACCGCAAGCCTGACCGAAAGTCTGCTTCGCTTATCACGTTGAGGATGGCCAAGATGATTATGGGGCAGGCCATTCTCCAGCTTGTGATCACCTTTGTCTTGAACTTTGCTGGACGCAGCCTTTTGGGCTATGGCACATCTGAAGACGATACCAAGAGTCTGAATACACTCGTCTTCAACACATTTGTTTGGTTGCAGATTTTCAACGAACTCAAGTAAGTAGCCTATGGCGAAAGAATAATGAATAGCCAACTAACTCTCGATTAGCAACCGCCGCCTGGATAACCGTTTCAACATCTTCGAAAACATCACCAAGAATTACTTCTTCATCGGAATCAACCTGATCATGATTGGTGGTCAGGTTCTCATCATTTTCAAGGGAGGCGAGGCATTCCAGATCCATGCATTGAATGGCAAGGAATGGGGTCTCTCTATTGGTCTCGGCGCGATCTCTCTTCCTTGGGGAGCCTTCATCCGTCTCATCCCCGACGCGTGGGTGGCCTCATGCCTGCCGTGGTTCATCCGCAAGAAGTGGGCACCTGATACGATTTCGGAGAAGCGTCTTGAGGAGCATCGCAAGTTTACGGGTGGACTTGAGCCGCCTCTGCGGACACACACTGGACTCAGAGGTCGCAGAGCGCAGGAGCACATGCCGTTCCGACAGCGGATGCACAACGCGAAAGTTCATGCCAAGGCCAAGATTGGCGGTCATGATCACAGCGTCTCGCCTATCAAGGAGGGTTGAGGATCAAAAATCTTAGCAACAATAGGCTCGCAATCATGTAATAGTAGTAATTAGTAACAAGAAGTCATTTGATCAGACTGCCGCTTCGTTCCTTGGCTGCCAAACGTGTTTAGACATCGTACGTCAAAACGGTGCAGTACCAACTTCATAGGAATCACAGGAAACTTTAAGGAGGCAAATCGTATTTGTCAAATAGAAACATAATATCCGAGTGCTTGAGGCACCTAGATGTGCAGCAAAGTCGCAACTTGCAAGTGAAAAGCAGTGGTAGAAGGAAGCCTGTGGCTTGTAGTGAATGTGGCTGGTGATGACAACTGAGGCTGAACAATCTTAGTCATCCAGCCTTCGATTGTCGAAGGGAAGGTGGATCGCAGAGCCAATCAGAGCCCATGTATTTCGGCAAAGCTAAGTGCTTCCCGGAACATCGCGAATTTCGTCAAGACTCCCAACACCATCCGATTCAACCCACTCTCCCCCCGAACGATCATCGCCTCGCCGACCGCAACGAAGCACCACTTGTCACTACACGAGACGTGCGAACTTGACAGACGGTATTCACAATGGTATGTTGGAACATCCTGCGAGCACCTGCCGCGCCACCGCAATTGGCTAATCGCTCATTTTTGTGTTTCTCTCTAGGCCGCCGCTCGCCCCTTCTACACGCAAGTCTTTCCCTCTCTCTGCTTCCTGCCGCTTTCGCCGATGACCGATATCGATTATAATTACCTTGAATGCTGCTCGAATTGGATCCGAGACTTGATTGAGTAGACGGAGGGCGTATGTGCTAACCCGTGGTTTTGGTGGTGTAGCGCTATCTTCAAGAACAACTTCTCCATGCTTGGCTTTGTCTTTGCGACGGGCTTTGCTTTCGAGATGTGAGATTCCCTCCTTACTTGCGACAATCCGACTTGCCGGTACCTCGGGTGAGGCCTAGGGGAGAGAAGTGGCCGATGGGTCCGAGGTATCGGGGTGATCGAGAGGGAATCAGACGTGGGCTGACATATTTGTTTCAGGGGCTTCAACGGTGCGATGAACAAGTACTGGGACTACCTGAACCGCGGCGTAAGTCACTTTCCAACGGTTTTTCTTTATGGTTTGCAAAGCTATTGCGTGAACCTGGCTGGTTCACGGGGTGTGCCTCGAAACCATGATTCGTAGGCTGGGAGACTCTTTTGCTGACTAGAGATTGAACATGTAGCGCCAATGGAAGGACATCCGCCACAAGTACGTCGAGGCTGCCGATGACGACGAGGAATAGACGACGAAATCTACGACTGTACTGGGAGAGCGAATAAGAGGGAACGAGGGGGCCTTTCCTTTTCAGAGCTTTGGCTTGGTGGAGGAGGAGGGAGTCCCTAGGTGGGCGTGTATTTTGTACCGATAGACGGAAGGGCGTGTAGAACATCAAGCTACCTTTCTGCATATTACTTACATTCGAGGCTCTCTTTTTTGCTTTTCGTGAGGGATAACGTGATGGGGATCTAGTAGGGTAAACGATTTGCAGACTGGCTGTCTCGGCAGTTGCTGAGGTTTGGTTGGGATGAGACTCTATGAGAAGGTCTGTATTGCAGATGGAGGTCAAAGTGATTTCCGTAGCTACAGACCTGCCTTTCCGGTAGGAGCTGAATCAAGGCCGTGTTGATATCACGGTCCAGTGGTCATCGACAAGAGGGAAAGACAGACGAATATGATGTTTCAAGCAATCATATTATCACTCTCGTACCCTACATTGTTGCACTGGGTGGTCACTTTGAATACCAATGCATCTAAATGGATGTTTCAATTTCTATTTTATTTTAATTGATATATACAGGAAATGCTCATCCTCACGGAGCGAGCTCTCCCAAGAGATACACTATGCCTTTAGGGGAGGGCAATGCACTCAATCTCAACATCGACATTCTTGGGCAGAGTCTTGACGGCGACGCAGCTGCGAGCGGGCTTGTGGGTGAACCACTTCTCGTACTCGCCGTTCATTTCCTGTTCGTGATATGTTAGGAGGGGAAATTGAGATACAAAGACAGGGGGGGTAAGAAAAGAGGGGGTGAACTCACGGCAAACTCGCCCATGTCAGCGAGGAAGATGTTGACCTTGACGACCTTCTCGATGGAGGAGCCGGCCTCGACGAGGACGGCCTTGAGGTTGGAGATGCACTGCTTGGTCTTGTCGGCGATGGAGCCCTCGACGAAGGTGCCCTCGGGGGTGAGGGGGATCTGGCCGGAGCAGTAGATGGCGGTGGGGGTCTTGATGGCCTGGGACTATTGGAGGTTCATGGTGGTTAGATTAGACTTTTTCTTTCAAGAGCCGCATGATGAGAGAAGGGACGTAGTTTCATACGTAAGGGCCAAGAGCTATTCAAGTTGAAATGTTAGCTAGTGTTACTTGGAGTCATCACTTTGAGGTGAATAGGATGAGATTGAGAGAAAACTCACCGGCCGGGGCGTTCTTGGTGAAGACGATAGATTGCTCAGACATCTTTGCTGTGTTGACGCTAAAGGGCTGAATATGGAATCTTGTGATAATGCGTGGTGTTGAGCGGACGGCGGCGCGAGATGAAAGTCTTGTGACGGATCTGAAGAGTGAGGACATTTGGGAAAGGGAAAAGGATGAGAGCCTATGTATCGCGGGGTTGTGAGCAATTGGGCAATTGGAGCAAAGCAGAGACGTAGCACTACAGGTACAGGTAAGGTAGGGCGGACTGCGGCGAATTGAGGGTCTACATATAAAGTTGGAGCTTCACGATTGGACGGGCAGGCTTCGGGCGGGGTGCCGTTGGTGACATGTGTGGTGCGGCACGCCCTCCGTTCTTCGGCGCTGGGCCCGGTGTGCGGATGGAGGGGTGGATTTGTCGGGTGCCCCTTTGCGGGGCGTGCGTCGGAGCGGCCAGTTGCGGGTTATGCTTTTCAGCGCCCTGGATTGACAAGTTGACATGACATTGCATGATTGTTTGTAAGCTTTGTTGAAGAAGATGCATGTGGGATGTGTTATTGGATATCTGTCTGGGGAGTATCCGCGGCCAACATGTTGTTGAAGTTGTATTCAAAGCAGTTATCTAGCATCCGTACATACTGAGGCCAGGAATCATGGTATTGATCACTCGATCGAAAAGAATTCGAATATGTTGAATAGTTCCTTTCATACAAGAGGGTACTTGTTTCCGGGAAACATCATGTTCTGCCTACGCGTACAATGTCTCTCCTAGAGTGGCTTTGTGTCGGAGATTCGGAGGCTCCACGAAGCATCATGGGATCCTTATCTTATCGCAGCGGAAGGTGGGAAGAGGTGAGATGAGATGAGGTGGGCTGGAGCTGCCCTTGCTCTCCCGGTTCTGAAGAGTCCACCTGCAGACTCCCCAAGCGGCCCTTGGAACACTACTCCGAAATTGTTAGCGCAGCTCCATCCAATGGAATGCATTGAATGCCCCAGAATGAGTGCGTGAATGCCTAGATGATTTTATTGATAGCTCTCTCTCACTTTGGCCAAGTGTCCAGTCCTCTTGGTGATCCCCGGTGAAAGAGAACAATCCCTGGCCCGAAAAATTATCCCGTTCCCTGAGGTACCTTAGCCTCTGAGACTACGGATAATACCTACGGATAGGGCCATCTGGTCTTCGGGAAGGTTCAGTGTCAGTCTGCAGTTTGCACGTTGTCAGGGGCCCTCCCAAGTTTTTCCGCTTAAGTTCCCGGGGAAGACAATCAATCTTCCTTGTCCCTTTTCTGCCGTCTCTCAATCTTCTCCATTATCGTGAGAAGTCAATTCGGGCCCTCTCTTTTTCTTTTCCCTAGGCAACTTTTTCGCCTTCTTCTTCTTCAAGTCATTCCTTAACACGTCACCTTTTTTATTGCGATCCCTTCCTTCTCTTCGACTTTTGACCAAACGTGACGTGAGGGCTGACGCGCTCCACTTTTCCCTCATAGCGTGTAAGTTAGCTACAAGCCCCTGAGCTCGCTCCCTTACAGCTCCAAAGTACCATACCTAGTGCGATACGTACCGCGCATTCATTGGATCCAATCCAATCCCCTAGGGTCCCTTCAGTTGGAGCTATCTGTCCTTCTTGTATGGTGATCCTGCCTGCCCCCGAGGGATCAAATATTCCCAGCTCGCAAACACCTGGAACCCAAAACTTTTCAGCCTCAAGGCTTGGACTGACAAACCTTTTCCATCGCCGAGCAGCTCCTTCATCGAATCCCCCACGTCCACACCCCCATCATGGCGTCGACGACTGCCACCCCGCAGGGCAGCGTTCGCCAGCGCAACAATGCGAAGCGGCCTACCACGCCCGCCGCCGGTACAGCTGACGCCGTCGTCGAGTCGTTGAACAAGGCCGGTGCAAAGACCAAGCGCTCCGTTTCCCAGCCCGAGTACGGCGTCGGACTTCTCATCACCACCATTCTCGCCTTCGTCACCCGTTTCTGGGGCATCAGCCATCCCAATGAGGTCGTCTTTGACGAAGTTCACTTTGGCAAGGTACGTCGGATACTCATACTTCGATGGAGGAAGGAAGAAAAGAGAAGGGAAACCCCCAATGCAGAATCAAAAATCCACCAGAACACATGATAACTAACTAACAACGCCTTTTACCACAGTTTGCCTCCTACTACCTCGAGAGAACCTACTTCTTCGATGTCCACCCTCCGTTCGGAAAGCTCCTCTTTGCCTTTATGGGATGGCTCGTTGGCTATGATGGACACTTCCACTTCGAGAATATCGGCGACTCCTACATCTCCAACAAGGTGCCCTATGTCGCCTTCCGAGCTCTGCCCGCCATTCTCGGCGCCTTGACCGTCTCCGTCACCTATCTCATCATGTGGGAGTCTGGCTACAGCTTGCCCGCCTGCCTTTTGGCCGCCGGTCTCGTTTTGCTTGACAACGCTCACATTGGTCAGACGCGTCTGATTCTTCTGGATGCCACTCTCGTCTTCGCCATGGCCTGTAGCTTGCTCTGCTACATCAAGTTCTACAAGCTGCGCCACGAGCCCTTCTCGCGCAAGTGGTGGAAGTGGCTGATCCTCACTGGATTCGCCCTGTCTGCCGACATCTCGACAAAGTACGTTGGACTCTTCGCCTTCGTCACCATTGGCTCCGCTGTGATTATCGATCTCTGGGGCCTGTTGGACATCAAGAGACCCGGCGGCGCCCTGAGTCTTCCCGACTTTGGCAAGCACTTTGCTGCTCGCGCTTTTGGTCTGATCATCATGCCCTTCCTCTTCTACCTCTTCTGGTTCCAAGTCCACTTTGCCGTCCTGACCCGATCTGGTCCCGGCGACGACTTCATGACCCCCGAGTTCCAGGAGACGCTGAGCGACAACGTCATGTTGGCCAACTCCTTGACCGTGGAGTACTACGACACCATCAGCATCCGCCACAAGGAGACCAAGACCTACCTGCACAGTCACGAGGACCACTATCCTCTACGCTACGATGACGGCCGTGTTTCCAGTCAGGGCCAGCAGGTTACCGGCTACCCCTACAACGACACCAACAACTACTGGCAGATCATTCCTTTGGTCGACGACCAGAAGACAGGCAAGGCCGTCAAGAACAACGATGTTGTGCGCCTCAGGCACTTGGGCACCGATACCATGCTGTTGTCCCACGACGTCGCCTCGCCCTACTACCCTACGAACCAGGAGTTCACTACGGTGCCTTTGGCTGATGCATACGGCGACCGTCTCAATGACACCCTCTTTGAGATCCGCGTCGAGAATGGCAAGCCTGGTCAGGAGTTCAAGAGTATCTCGAGTCACTTCAAGTTCATCCACAACCCCAGCAAGGTTGCCATGTGGACGCACACCACTCCTCTGCCTGAATGGGGCCACAAGCAGCAGGAAATCAACGGCAACAAGCAGTTGGCGCCGAGCTCCAATATCTGGTTTGTTGAGGACCTTCCCGCGATTCCCCTCGACTCTAAGAGACGCGAGAAGCCTGAGAAGGAGGTTAAGACCCTACCCTTCTTCCGCAAGTGGTTCGAGCTTCAGCGCTCCATGTTCTGGCACAACAACCAGTTGACCAGCAGCCACCCGTACGCCAGCCACCCCTACCAGTGGCCCTTCCTGCTCCGCGGTGTCAGCTTCTGGACTCAGAACGACACCCGCCAGCAGATCTACTTCCTCGGTAACCCCATCGGCTGGTGGCTCGCCAGCAGTCTGTTGGCAGTCTTTGCCGGTATCATCGGCGCGGACCAGGTGTCACTTAGACGAGGCATCGACGCTCTTGACCACCGTAAGTACCGTGCGTATCTCTAATTATCTAGGACAGCGTCGCTAATCATCAGCAGGTACCCGTTCGCGTCTGTACAACTCGACCGGCTTCTTCTTCCTTGCCTGGGCTACTCACTACTTCCCCTTCTACCTGATGGGCCGTCAACTCTTCCTTCACCACTACCTGCCGGCGCATTTAGCTTCGTGCTTGGTTGCCGGTGCTCTCCTTGAGTTCATCTTCACCGCCGAGCCCGCTCCCGAGGAGGGCTACGAAGTCATCAAGGGCAACAAGAAGGCCGATGGACCTAAGAGACACATTTCGGCCCGCGAGCGATTCGCCGGTCAGAGTCTTGCTGGCGCCTGGATCGCTTGCGGCGTTATCCTTCTCATTGCCCTCGCCGGCTGGTACTTCTTCCTGCCCTTGACGTACGGATACCCTGGCCTCACCGTTGAGGAGGTTGTCCGTCGCAAGTGGCTCGGATACGACCTGCACTTTGCTAAATAAATGGCAAGCCGTTCACATCAACACCCAACGCGGGATTGATGATACAGATACCTTTTTAGAAGATCTTGCCCCAGAAGTCAGGCGGGCTCTCACCTCCAACGACCTAGAGTGAACAGGTCAAGGGAACACAGTGACCACAGAGTTCAGCAGAGGATTAAAATGGGGAAGGTTGGGGACGTCGAGTGTATTAGTAGTTTTCTTGAGTCCAATGATATACTCCAGAGGACCTTTCTTCATATGAAACTGTGATGAACTTGAGGTACGGATACTTATTGATGGCATTTCTATGCACAATGAGGGGAAAGCGTCATTCAAGTCAATGCCTTGGGCAATGTTCCCCTCATGCTCTAGGTTGTGTCGTCGTAGTCTTGTGCAGGGGTGAGCTGCGTCGCAAGGACCAATCGCGTGCCTCCCCGTCTTCTCCAGGCTTCCAAAACGGACCCTGTCAGCCCTGCCGGAGCCCAATGACACCGGGCAAATTCAAGCACAGTAGTGACAATACACGGTGACGGGACCCTTAGCTGATCCCTGCCGAGAAGCTACCTCCCATTACTGAGCACCTCGAGGTCCCCGCGACCTCCTGGTATTACCTTACGTATTATCTTACGGATGATAATACGAGACTGTCGCCCGCTCGTCTTGGCCAGTGCAGGAAGGAGGGAGATCGACTTCTGGCACCCGGAGCTTCCTGTTTTTCTCTTTCTCTTCTGCCGTTCAAGCATGGTTCAATGGCGTCGTCCATGACATTTTCCCCATTTTCTCCCTTTGCTCACTGACTTATCGTGTACATCTTCTCGTCCTTCGACCTCGTCTTCCGACGCCGGTTCGCCCTCCGCTCGAACCTCGACCCGAAGCAACGACCACCAACGGATAGTTCGAGCGCAACGCCGCCGAACTCACCTAGAACAGAAAAGAAAAGAGAAAAAAAAAACCATGGGCCTCCTCAACGGCCTCCGCCTGAGCGCCCGCCGTCTCCTCCGCTCCCGCCCCTTCCGCAACCTCGCCCTCCTCCTAACCCTCTACGTCCTCCTCGACGCCCTCCGCTACCAGCGCCGCGTCACCTCGGCCCCGCGCCACGACCCGTCCCGCCCACGTCGCGCGGAGCGCATCTACATTGCAGGAATGCACTACAACGACGCCTCCGTGATCCGGACGCACTGGAATAAAGCGGTCCTGGACCTCGTCGAGGCGCTGGGGCGGGAGAATGTCTACGTGTCGGTGTACGAGAGCGGGAGCTGGGACGATACCAAGGCGGCGCTGCGGGAGCTGGACGGGGTGTTGGGGAAGAGGGGCGTGAGGAGGAATGTCGTGCTTGACGAGAGGACGCATGCGCAGGAGGTGGAGGATGTTCCTGCGGAGGGGGAGGAGAGGGAAGGGTGGATTGCGACGCCGAGGGGGAAGAAGGAGATGAGGAGGATACCGTTTCTTGCGAGGTTGAGGAATTTGACGTTGCGGGATTTGTGGAAGTTGGGAGAGGAGGGGGAGATGTTTGATACGGTGCTCTTTTTGAATGATGTTGTGTTTACGGTAAGATTTTTTTGCGTCTTTTCTCTCTTCCTCCCTTCTCAACATACCAAAGGAAGGGTACTTTGCCATACGATCCAGGAGTAGGGGAGGGGCTAACGTCAAGACTTGAACCAAACCCAGACCGAAGACGTGCTTGCGCTGCTCGACACCAACAACGGCATCTACGCCGCAGCCTGCTCCCTCGACTTCGCCCACCCACCATCCTACTACGACACTTTTGCACTCCGCGACTCGGCGGGACAAGCGACGCTGATGCAGCGGTGGCCGTACTTCCGCTCCGAGGTGAGCCGCCGCGCGATGATGGCCTACTCGGACGCCGTACCCGTGCGGAGCTGCTGGAACGGCATCGTGGCGATGCCGGCGGCGCCCTTCCTGGCGAATCGGCGGGGGGCGGCCGGGGGCGTCAAGAGGCTCGCGTTTCGCGGGGTGGACGATTCGCTGGCCGAGGAGGCGCACCTCGAGGCGAGCGAGTGCTGTCTTGTTCATGTGGACAATCCGCTGTCGGAGCAGCTGGGGGTGTTTGTGAATCCGAGGGTGAGGGTCGGGTATTCGCCTGCTGCGTATGAGGCTGTGAATCCGGCTGGTGGGGGTAGTTGGCTTTCTGTGTGGAGGATTGTGGTTGGTGTTTGGGAGGGGCGGGTGAGGCGGGTGTTGACGAGTGAGAGGGTTAAGCAGTGGGTTGTTCGGAAGAGGATGAAGGAGTGGGAGGCTCGCGGTGGTGGTGATCAGAAGGAGAGGAGTGAGAAGGGGGTTGATTGTTTGATTAATGAGGGGCAGGTGCTTGTGTACAATGGATGGGCTCACGTATGAAGGAGGGATTCGAGAGGATCGAGAGGAGGGTGAGGATGGAAAAAAGGAGAAAAGGATACCCATTGGATGTGTTGTTTTTCTATAGATGTATCGTGTGATGTACAAAAAGTCTTTTACGCCCACGCTTCTTCCTGTTGGCTTCCTGGTCCAGCTATTTTACAAATTCAAATGAGATCATTCCAAAGACCGAACAAAAAAAGTGTTCACAACCGGTGTTGCTACATCTCTTAGTGCTCATGCTGGGATTCGAACTCGGGTACTCTCGCTAAGCCTGTCGTCGAGTAGGCTGGTTGGCGGATAAATCAATTGTCGACCTTTTAACCATTTCCACCACCCAGCCAGTTTGTCCTAACCTCCCGACCTAGAGAGGCGCCTGCTGTCGTTGGTGACGGGAATGGGAATTAGGGGTGGTATATACCTTTGTCCTGTTGTATATTCAGAGTATTCCTATTTTCATTTTAAGATAGTGTAGGTGGCTGCCGTTGCCCAACCAACAAGTATTTCTCCTAGATTTACACTTGTTTTCTTCCTTCCCTGACTACCTTACTCAATGACCGCGCCTGGTATGGCAGTAACCACTCGCGCCCCAATTTCGTTGAAGAAACGCCGCAACTCGGGCTCCTCGCCTGTTTCTTTGTTGATCAGGACCGCGGTGTTGATCTCTTCGCCAGTGGTATCGATTTCCCGAAAGTTGTGTGATCTCTTGAGTGTGAGTTTCTTTCTCGGTATATTCAGTGGCTTGACGTAGAGGTCTACTTCCGGTTGTTCAGCATCAAAGTCTGTAGGTGGATCGTAGATGCCATCCTCATCTTCTTCCTCGTCATCGTCAGAGAAGGTCATAAGGTCCTCGGACGGTTGAGACGTCCTCACCTCCAGGGAGATACTACTCTGGCTCTCCCAGTCCTGTTCTGCGGTGAATGCTTCGGGGGATAAGGGGCTAACGAGGTACGTCCCATCATCAACGATATGCCCTGTTCTCATTTCGTCGACAAGGCCATCGAAGGACGTTCCCTCATCCTCATCATCATCCATCTCGTCGTCACTGTCCGTCCCGGCCTCCTCGAGACCCATCTCATTTTCGTCATCAATACCAACACAACACCTCAATCCGCTCCCCTTTCCACCTCGCCTACCCTGGCTCTGGATCTTCAAACCGGAGCCAGAGTCCTCCTCCGGATCCGCAAGCAACTCCAGTAACGCCCCCTCCTCGTCGAGCAAATTACACTCCCTCGCGACGCCTAACGCCCCAGAAGCTGCGGCAGCAACAAGACGCCCGCCTAACCCGGAACTCACAACCCTCGGGACGTCGTTCATCTGCAACACGTTGAGGAGCGAGACTCCGTGCGTGCTCAGCTCGTGGAGCTGCGTCGAGGTAAGGTACCCCCGCCGCTCTGCGTCCGCGGCGCAGAGTTTTCGAAAGGCGGGGAGGGCTGTCGATGTTCGTCTTTGCGAAGGGTACGTCGAGAATGAGAGAGATGAAGGGGACGGGAGAGGGGAGTGAAAGTCTACTACGGCCAGCATGTCGTTGATGGCGTCTGCCGACCATTGCACTGAGCGGATGGCTTGTAGGAGTCGGGTGTACTCGCGCCTGCGCGGGTGAGAGGGGAAGTTCTGGGCGTATTCTCCTGAGCCAGGAGATAGGGGTAGAGGCAGGATGGGTTCGATGAGGTCGGTTTGGGGTTCGAGGGGGTTTATAGAGGGGGAGGGGATGCAGTGGAGGACGAGGTAGCGGAGGATGTTTGCGTTACGGGCGAGATGGGTTTGGAGTATGTTGTAGGGGGTTGTTTGGGGAAGGGAGAGGCCGCGGGCGATTGTGGTGAGGGGGATTAGGGCGGACGGGGAGGAGGGGTGGTAAGGGGGAAGGAGGTGTTTGTCGGTTGCGGGGGAGAGGGCGGAGTCGTGGTGGGAGTTGGATGTGGTTGCGTAGATGTCGAGGAGGTCGTCTATCTCTTCTTCGTCTTCTTTGCCCTCACTCGGGGATGTTGGGGATATCTTGGAGGCGGGAGAAAGAGAGTCTTCATTTTCTGAAGAGTCTTCGGAGTAGATGGACGAGGAACGTCGCGGAGATTTCGGTGACTGAAGCGTTGATATCCAGTGCTCGTCTTCCACGGTAGTCGACTGGAAGAATTGGCTCGTATTGTCAAAGACGGTCCTCATGGGTGTGCCGCCGAAATTATCTGCTTCCATCGTTGTGAAGTTATCCCCTTTCTCGGCCGCGTAAGACGGCTCGGAAAAGGCAAGCGCCCGGGGACTGTGTTCCAAAGAGTCTTTCCGGAGTGGGAATGTTGGCGACCTGTCTGATGCCATGTTGGACTCTTCGTCTGCTCTGGAGATGCTCATCACCAAAGCGTGGGGACGGATATCAGAGTAGTTCGATCTCTCATTGTCGTCATACCAACCCAGCCCAGCAACGGGACGAACAATCTCGTGAGCCGGAGTCGGAGGGAGATTCTCCTCTTCATCAGCATCAGTCTGCCACCCTTCAAACTCTTCAGAAAATGAGTCCAACAAATTCCCAATCGACAACTCGCATCCCTGGTTTTGCACCTCGGCCGTGGTATACTCGGAGAAATCAAATAACACCTCCCTATCCGGCGTGGAGCTCAACTCTGCTTCTTTCGTCTGGTCGTCACCAGTCTCATCGACGACATCCGCCCCCGAGACCATGGGATCCGGAACTCCCGCGTCTTCGACCATGCTCCTCAGATCCTCAAAGTATAGCGACGGCAGACGAGTCCGACTACCCTCGCCGTCAGAGGGGTCTTCTTCCGCGGTAGATGTCTCTTCGCTGGAGTAATCGACCAAAGTCATCTCCATCCCCTCCCCCATGGCCGTCAAGGAACTATAAGGCCCCTGGGCCGTGGTCAAGCAAACCGGGACCCCGCCGTTCGTCGGATTCGAACGTAGCCCGTCTCTCATAACCACCCCACACATCTTGAACGTAGGCATTACCTCTCCCATCTCCCCCTTTTGCGTCTCTGACCTGTGACGTACAGCATTAGCACCGTCTTCTCTCTCTTGACCGCACGAACGTGAAGACTCATCGACGGCCCATGATCTGTGTTGGCTGTGGTCGGGGCGAATCACCTCTTTCGCTTCATCGCGCTCCTCTTCAAGCTTCTCATCCTCTTCATCATGTCCCCCGAATCCGCACTCGCACCCACCTCCACCGTCCTTCCAATCCTCAGCTTCTGGCCCGTCGTCGTCGTCGTAGTCGTCGTCATACTCCTCCCGAACCGCCGCCTCGTCCTGGCGATGGTCCGTCTTGGCGAGAGAGAGAACCCAGTCATGGTTGTATCGAGCTGTTTCTCCACCCCTGCTCCCGTAGACTGTCGTCGTGGTTCCGTACCTAACGTGTAGCGCGTCGTCGTCCGCACCGAGGTACTTGAACTTCTCACTTCCCCTCACCCTCCGTTCAGCGCCTTCCGTCCGCTGGATGAGCTCGATGAGCGCCGCGGAGGACTCACCTCTGAGCAACGACTCCGTCTCCTTGACGCCCTGGGCCGGAGGGGCTGAGGGACAATGCGTTGGTGACTGGTCACCGCCGTATACGGAAGAATCGGGTGCGTCGTAGCTGTACGTGTCTTGGGAGTGGTTGTGTCTGGATTCTCCGTCTTCGTCTTCCTGGGTTTGATCGGTCGTGGGAGAATAACACTCCGAGGTCTTGGTCGTCGTCGTCGTGGGGCGGTGACGGTATGGTTCGCGATATGATCTCGAGGGTCTTCTTCTGTTGGACGTCCAGCGTCCTAGGGATGGCCATGTGAAGCCCATAGTTCCTTGAGAGTCGAAGAATTAGATTATTCCCCCAGTGATTGCCTTCTTACTTTGCCTAAGGGAAACGAAAATCCTGATGAGAAGTAAAAAAGAAGTCGAAGAGGAAGCAATGAAACGGTCGATGGGTGTAGAATGGAGCCGGATTGACTCCTTTTTGACTCAGATGGAACTCAAGGAAGGGGCCTTTTCCCCTTCTTGTTGCCGTTCCTTGGTGCAAAGAACGGTATCTGCCATATGGCGAAGCCGCCTTTGACTCCTCCCTTGCTTGTCGGGCAAGAGGGATGGAGAAGTACCAGAGTTGCCATGTCAAAGAGAAGGAAGTCTCCTCGTGGGATCCTTTGAATTTCCCTTGTTCTTGAACGGGGACCTGTAAAAAAATACTGGCCGTTTCTACGAGGCCCTAAAACAGCGTCGAAACCAATATGACAATAATGTTGTTGATAGTCAATTAATTTAGAACGTTCTCTACGTCGGTCCTTGAAAACCAACAGGTTTTCGAAACATCCAGCTCATCATGGGAAAAGAGGCCTTCTGGATTTCTTAATGATAGTCTGCATAGTCATGGAAAGGGAGGGAGAACATTGGATCCTAGCAAACATCGACGCCCGGATGTCTTTGTCCGAGAACCCTTTTCGAACGGATGAGAATTTCCAGAAACAGAACAAAAAAATTTCCGGATCAAGATATCCCTTGTTTCGTGATCATTGGAAGTAGACCGCACCGTCTTGATTGTTCTCGACGACGAGACCTAGCCAGTTGGCTACCTCGACCTACCTGCCTCATCTTTGAATATTCGGTTTCCCACAGTAGGACAGAGATCCCGGAACGAATAGGCCCGCCTGTCTGTCTTCACCAGATGGATTGGTGATAGATATATGGTGATATGGGAAAGATGCCACCGTCTTGCTCAAGGTTGTTACGAGTGCCTCTGTCTACCCAGCAAGAAACATATCAAGCTGTCTGCCCAATTCTAGGGAAGTTGAACAATGCGGTTGTCTAGCATTACGAACAAGAAACAACATACCAACGACCCCAAGACAAAGTCCTTGTAATAGCCACCGTCAAACCTTCTACCTAGCAGAGAAGAACAAGATGAGCCAAATAAAAAATAAAAAATACAAGGCATTGTCCCAACCTCTTAGTCCACGCCCCCAACTCACCTTCCCTCGTCGATACAAAAGAGTCAAGTCAAAACCTCTCTCTCCTAGGCAAGAAGAGATACAGAGGCAGAGAGACAGTCTCAAGAAGCCAGTCGTACACACCAGCCAAGAATCGAAACCCAAAACACCCTTTCCCTGCCTCCAGAGGCTCAAGTCTCGGAACTCAAAGCATTCCAAGTCCCGATATCAAGTGAGGCAAAAAGGCTATACATAAAATAGAGGTACGTAAAAACGTTACCGGGGGGAAGCGTGTTACAAAACCCCCAAAGTCTACGAGAAAGATGTGCTGGGAAAAGCAAATAATCTACACAGACTGCCACCACAGCGTCTTGGAAGACATAGACTGCACAGATTACAAGACGCAGCAGGCGCGCAAGCTCAACCCATACGACTCCAGCTTCACCTCCTCCTCAAGCACCCCTGCCCGCAATCATCATCAGCTCAATACCAGCGTCAACAACGCCAAAAGAGCACGACGAAACCGCAAAAACCGTTCCCCGTGGATGATCCTCCTCTGTCCCTGCTTCACCTGCCCATCCACCCCCTCGACGCCGCCACCATCACCACCACCACCGCAAGCCTACGAACCCTCTACATCCACCAGCGCCTGCCGCGGGAGAAAACGCTGCATGAGTCCTGTCGGTGGAAAATGTCCTCGCTGCGTCCAGGAAAAGGCCGTCGCGGCAATGCAGGCCGTTCCTCCGTCGATGCCGACGCCGGCGAGGACGCGGTATCAGCACGGGCAGCAGCAGCAGCAGCAGCAGCAGCAGGGCCGTCCAGAGTTGAGGGGAAATACTGGTATGAATGATACTTACGGTGCTACAGGTGGTCCAGGTATTCCACTTTCTCCAGGAGATCAACGGAGGCAGAAAGCCTCGCGGCCGGGGGATGATGTGCGTCGATATCAGGACCCCGGGGCTCCGGGCCAGCCGAGGGGTGATCACGATGGGAACGGCACGAGGAGAGATGGCGGGAGCGCTGACGGTAGAAGTGGTGGAGGAGGTGTTGCTGGTACAGTGCTACACATTTGGAGGGGTGGTAGATCTCCGACGTCACCGTGGTTCAATAAGCGATTTCACGATGCTCGCGAAGAGCAAGCCAGCCGGCAGCAGCATTGTCAAGGAGAGGAGCAAGGTGCCCAGGAAGCATATTGTCACAAGCAGCCGGAAGAGCAGCGGACACCGGTAAGTCACGACAGACAACGGCATCAGCAGCAGCGGCAGCAGCATCGAGACCATCAACAACAGCAAAAGAGACCAAGTGGTCCTACATCACCCCTTCTCACGCAGACCGAGCCAATACCCTCGTACGTCCGTGAAACTACTTTTCACCTACTCCCCGCGCCCCTGAAAATCAAGAAGAAGACCAAACAAGAGACGTCCGAAGGGCTAACCCGTAGTTCCGCGTGCGCAAGCCGTCCTCTACAAGTGAACGCCACCCATCAGACAGGAGAACAACGGAGCAGCCGGGATCAGCAGCAGGAAATCCACCGCGCAATAGTCAGCAGCCCGGAGCCACGCATCGCAGGAGCGGGATGTACCCCCGAGTTGCCACTGGAGGAGCTGATGGACGAGGTCGAGATGCTGTGGCGGAGGATCCCTAATTAGGAGCAACAGTGAGCTTCAGCCGCGTGGCTGGTGAAGAGGGGGAGGGGAAGCATTCCTCTGGTCACAAAGTAGAGAAATAGAGTAGACCATGTTCCAGCGATCTGGCCATCCTTGTTCCAGCCGGCCGTCGCCTCCCCAAAGCAACCATACTTTAGTGTACCATGTTTAAGGGCCGGCCGCTGGGAGAAGGTTCAACTTGGAAGCCCCTTGGGAATCTGACGTGCATGACTTGGGAACGAGTAAACCTTCAAAGGGTCTAGTGGAAGGAAACAAGCTCAAGGCAGAGAGAATAAACACAACACCAATGTCACAACCCTCTTTCTTGTTGCGTTGATACAGATTCGTGGCCTCTGCGTTAGTCCAATCAATGACGGGCTTGTCTATGGTGCATCAGGTGCAACGAACGTGGTCTCAGGAAATGGGTGTGTCTGTCTAGTGTAGGGACTGCATCGGTTCAAAGAAGCGAGAAACCGGTACGTATCGTATCGGCCTAACAAAGAAGCAGAAATGCTGATGCCTTGTTACGACACGGTCGAAAGTCCTAGGAAGAAAAAAAGAGGTGGCCGCAATTGATCGGCGAAGCGGAGTTTGGTGATAGGCTGCTCTATTTCCGCAAAGCTGATTGGTGACGGAGGGACATCCATAGGGCTGACCGACGGGCAGACAGTTGGGGTCGGGATCGCTGATTCGTGACCGCCTACGTGTCGTCGATACACGATGGGCTTCTTGAGCCAATGAGACGGCAGCATAGGCTTTGCGGATGAACCGGTACCCGTTGGAATGAAGGGGGTTCCTAAGAGTCCTAACTCTTGCGTTCTTTTTAGGGGCCCTAGAATACGATACGGGGTGCGGGATTCGGCGTGTTCAGGAACGGCCATGTAACTTGCAAGTGACGAGGCGGCTACGTTACTGAGTACACAGGACGATGTGACGCCGCCTCTCTCTTGCGTTCGGGGTAAGTCACAATGTGGACGGTGAGCCGGGAACCGATTTTGAGTCAAAAAGCTTGCTTGCTTTGAGTTTCTTGCTTCTTTCGTCTGTCGGTAAACAGCTTGGATTGGCTTGGGTTTAGAGTCACTGGGATAGGACAGCCACGCCAGCCCTATGTGTGGAGAGGAACCGGGAGGGTTGTGCGAGTGCGAGTGGTGATGGTGGTGAGCAATTGGTTGACCAAGGTTCGTTTGGATGTGTTCCTGCGAGCAGACGCGCATCCGTCATGCGACTTGCCCTGCGCCAAAGTCCTGTGCAGCAAACAAGCATACACGACTGAGTACGAATCCCTGGGTACGGATTCGTTGGTGATATGCGCAACAGCGCAATCCAGCACCGTCAGAGCAACACGCCAAGCTTCAACCAACGCAAGCTAGGTGACGACTGACGAGTCAAGACATGCAGGTCCATGTTATTGCTCATGTTCGTGTCCTACATAGATTCCTAGACTCCGACTGTCCCTGAATCCCGATTAGGTGAAATGCGAACGGTCGCTCGTGCGAAGCTGCGAGTTATGAGTTGTCAATGGTTCAGAATTCTCAACCTTCAAACTGCAACCCTGGTACCGCGTGCTCTGTACCGAACGTCATTCGGCCGACCCAGACCAGACTGGTGGGCTTTGCCTGGCTAATCAGACTGGGTGTGTAATCTTGGTGGGTGGGATAGAGAATCAGAGCGCCCGCTGGCCATTCCGACCCCTGCCTGTCCCGTGGTCTAGTGACAGGCCGGACGAAAATGCCGACCTTGACCGGAAGTTGAAGCAAAGCTTTTTGTCTGCTCTCTCATTTTCTTCTCTCCTGGTCCGTGGATGAGCTGGCTTGATCGGCCCCCAACAGTAAGCAGAGGCCATGGCAGTTGGTCCGCAGTGGACCGTTTTCAATAAACTCCACATGTCACGGACCACGGGTTGATGGAGACTGGTGATATCAGCAACGCGCGAGAAATGGTATCCGTACGAGCGCCAAGGGCGTCATTGGTCAATTTCCGCGTTGAAAGGTGACATAACGAGAGAGGGTTGGTGTTGGTTTCAATTCAAACTGGGACCCGATCTGCCGCTTTGGGCAAACGCAAGGGGAGCCCTGATCTGCTCGTCGTTAAACAGGCCTGTCGTGTGTGTCCGTAAAGATGTAGGCACGCAGGACAGTGGATGGTAGCATGGCATTGCTGCGACCTTGAGGGCCTGCGGAGGAGGCTGAGGGCCCTTTGAGACTCTGAGTGATAGGTAGAGGAGCGGAATTTGGAGTATGTAAGACAGCCAACAGTTCGCTTGGGAATGGTCCCAGGTTGGCGGAGAATGAAACGACCCAGTGGGAAGTCATGGATCGGGCTGGCGGGTGGAGATTGATGAGCGGGCTAGCTTTGGGACTTTGGTTCTGATGGGCTGATTTTGACGGGGGTAAGCGAGAGAGACTCAGAGAGACTCAGAGAGGCCAAATAAAGTCTAATCCCTGACCCAGTTTCCGAGTGTAAAAAAGGTACCGTGCATGAGACTATGAGTCCCTCTCCAGTCTTGCCCGTGTCTTGGTTCTCTTGAGGACTCTTAGCTTGCCGCCCTACCGTTAGCGGCCTCAAAGCCACGACCGGTGCAACAGGTGTGCAGGAGAGAGGGCCATAATAAGGTACTGAGCTATGCTATGTTGTGCTGTGCTGTGCTGTGCTGTGCTATGGACGGAGCAGGTGTGTGGTGGGTGGTATGGAACGGAGTAATGCTGTGCAATGCCGTATCGTGAGAATAGATGTCACTGGTGACTGGCGAGCTTGGCTGTGCAGGTGCGTTTCTGGTCATTCGTATGTTGATCTGGACGAATACGTTCCGACTCTGATAGCGCTGGTGAGGCTGGACAGCCAAATCGTTTCTTTGAGGTTTCGAGTGTATCCGTAGTCCGTACGGAGTACTGCGTACGGCGGTACTGTCACCTGTGGACAACGGCGAGAGATGAGGATGCCCAATAGCCCACTTCAGCTCATCTTCAGCGGTGCATGTTGAAACTTGATCGAACCTTGCGATACGCCCCATCTGCGGTCACGCCTTGCTGCCGTCTCCATTTGCGAGGTGACTCTGTGCAGAGGCCCAGAGGGAGATGTTCTGGCGCCCGTCCGGCTGGCGCACCCTGCTTTCGAATACAGTACCGGACCAGACCCTTGCGTTTCCCGCTTCTCGGGACCCATCAAGATTTGCGAGCTGGAGAAGGCAGCCGTCAATCCGATACACCGTTCGGGCGGTATGTACTTTGGAGTCTACATTACTTGTACGTAGTTGACGATGGGTTTGCGTTTCCCGCCCCTCAAACGGAGCATATTAGGGACGAGAGAATTCGTCTGCCTCCGGTGAGGTGCGCGGCGGTATGGATGTTGGATGGGTGCAATGCACAATGGTGAGCAGTGCTAGGACTCCCGAACTGGACCTCAAGTGACAAACAGCAGTAAAGGTGACAAGCAGCAGCAGCAGCAACAACAGACACGGAGTCGGAGTCGGGACCATAGGCTGGTTGAGGTTCCATTGTTTTGCTGACAGCAGCGTCATTGGTAGCATAGGAATTGAGACGTCAAGTTGCAGTGCAAGGTGTTCATTTCTGACACCCAGTGACCCAGGGTAGCAAGGGCAACTAGCATCTAGTGTTCCGGGTTGCCGTCACTCTGGAGTCTGGCGGCTGGGTGTCTCTTCATGGGGCAGAGTATCGTATTGGTGATGGTATCATTGCTTCGAGGGAAGTGATGCGAGGTGATGAGAGGTAGGTAGTCGGTGCTAATCGTGTACTCTGATGCTTGATTCGAGGGGGGCTGTGCTCATGGGGTTTGTCCACCGCCGTGCAGTTTGAGCAGCGGGCTGCATAGCTGCGGTGACTCTAACAGCGGGCCTTTCAATGTTCAGGTGGCCCGTAATGAGGTGCAGCCAACATTGTTTGGAACGAGTGGAGTTTGGCTTGGTTGCCGGCGGGCGGGCTTAACGGAAAATACTGGCGATGAAATCTTCATTTCCATCTTGGACGAATGAATGCTGGTAAAAAGACGAGACGATGGGACTCTGGGGGTTGAGACCGAGGAGACCGAGGATGGGACTGTGGTGGAAGATGGCAGAATTGAGGGAAGGATGTGTGTGGTACAAAGTACTCCGTACCTACCTACGGAGTAAGGTAGGTAAGCCTGGCAAGGTAAGGTACCTTCCTTACCAGGTACCTAGTGTACACTACGCAGTAGGTGAGGTGAGGTATGGAAGGTGGTGGGGTTCAAGGTTGGAGGGCTCCCTGGATACGTACCTTTTCTAGTGACTGGGGGTTAGATCCTTCCTGATCCGCAAAGCCCAGACTCCGCCTCCACTGGTCGACGGTAACGCTCTCCCATTGGCTAGTCGATTAGGCAGCAGCCTTTCGCCCCGGGCGCTCTCTTCAGAGTTCTGGTCCGCTCAATCGTCGCTCCCGTTCAGCGCAGCAGCGCTCTCTCTCTCTCTCCACCGGTGCTCGTTTGGCTGCCGTACTCCGTACTCTCTCTCACTCTGAGGTGCTCAGTGCCGGGCTGCTTTTCTAATCAAACCTCGATGACCTTCGACCCCCGGTACACCAACAACCGCCTCCTCCTCGCTCGCGACTACCACACACCTCTTCTCTCTCCTTTCACCCACCCTCAACCCTCGACCAAATCCTCTTCCTTCTCCTGCTTTTCTTTCTCTTTTTTTGGCTCTCCTCGATTTCTAGGATATTCAAGCCGCTTACTCGATACCAAACCCAATCCCGTCTTGTCCCACTGAGGCCGCCGCACTTCAGTCCGCTTCTTCCTCCACCCTCCTCGTCCTCGTCTCTTGCTCTTCCTCCTGGATACACATCATCCTCGAAGAATATCGCACACAGCTGCTCAGACTACCTACTTCTGCTTTCTTCCATCCTCGTGTGCATACGCCGACGCGTACGACAGCTGGGACGAAAAGGCGCATTATCATACATTGTCTTGCTCCTCTACCCAGACAGGACCCCTCAAAATCAGGCAGACTTCAACGGCCTCGACTTAAATCCACTCGCCTGCTCTGCTCGCCTTTCGCCTCGTCTGGCCTTCCGTTGCCATCTCCCCATACCATCGACGTTATCGCCTTCGATACCATCTTTCATCTCAACGTAAGGCACCGTCTCTTCCTCTTCCTCCTCCTCATCTCTCCCCCTCTTCATCCACTTTGTCCACACGATATCCGTCTCAAACATTTCCCGCCACATCATCACATTGGCCAATCCTAAACCTTGGGCTTGCTCAAGAGGCTAGGACTACTACATCAGACCTACCAGTGAGGTCCTGGTCGTGACTCACACTCCGTGTCCTATTCAGCCCTACAACTCCATGAACCCTCGAGAGATCTAACACAACCTAGCCGACAGAGTTCTGGACACCCGTGTCATCACCGTCACCATGTCCGTCTCCGTCAACCCTCGACGCAGGACTCCGGTGACTCGCCCGGAGTCTCCTGCCGGCACTGGCCTCACTCTTAAGACCAACAGCCTCCGCAAGGGTGCTACCTTTCACTCTCCCACCAGTCCTACGTCTTCTCTGGACGATGCCTTGACTGCTGCCCCTCCAAGCCTTCGACGCTCCCAGACCAACCTGGACGACGTTGTCGACGCCCACTGCCGCCGCATGGCCTTGATTGTCGACGACATTGACAAGTCCCTTGCCAACATCAACCTGGTCTCCCCCAAGACCAAGTCTTTCCGCGACGACAGTCTTCCCGTTCCCAGAGGCTTTCTCAACCTACCCGTTGTCGACCCCGCCATGGCAAAGGAAAAGTCAAAGGAGACGGAACGTCGCATTCTGCGCCCCAGAATCCGCCGTTCCTCGAGACATCATGAATCAGACAGCGGACTCGGAACCTCTGTCGCCCCCACCACCGAGACAGAGCCTGCAACCACCGCATCAAAGAAGGCATCCGCCATCACAAGGTCCGCTGCCAACACTTCTTCTGCCACCATGGAGAAGCTTCCCGCCCTCAGCTCCAAGGCTGTCAACCGCATCCACGAGCACGTCCTCCGCCCCCTCCGGGCCAAGCCTGCTCTCAAGGACTTTGAGCCCATTGTTCTTGACATCCCCAGACGCATCAGAGAGAAGGAGATCATCTGCCTGAGAGATCTCGAAAAGACACTTATTTTCATGGCACCCGTAAGTCATTCACTAACTGAAACTGGAGTTTGGGCAATTACTTATCGATCGTTGATGAAGGAGAGGACCAAGACCGCCGCCTTGTACCTCGATTTCTGCCTGACGTCGATCCACTGCATTCAAGCAACCGTGGAATACCTAAGCGACCGAGAACAGACTCGACCCAACGACCGCCCTTACACTAACGGATACTTCATCGATCTCGTGGAACAGATTCGCCAGTACGCAGGACAACTTGCCGCCGCCAAGGAGACTGGATCAGACGCCGCTGAGATGGACGTCGACCCGTACGACATCCGTTCCCAACTTGCCCTTTACTCAACTAACATGTTCCGTAGGACCGACGAGATCAAGCTCTTCGGAGGCATCGCTGATAACGGTCGCCCGGCCGAGCTCATCCGCATTCGCAAGGACGGAAAAGCCATTTCAATGGCTACTGGCCTGGAGGTCGACCTGGATGACCCCAAGAGCCCTATTCAGATGAAGCGCTCGTTGAGCCAGCAGTTGGAGGATGATGAGGAGATTATGCGTTCCATGGCTCGTCGCAAGAAGAACGCCAGTCCTGAGGAGCTTGCCCCCAAGAAGTGCCGTGAGCCTGGCTGCAACAAGGAGTTCAAGCGTCCCTGTGACCTGACCAAGCACGAGAAGACCCACTCTCGTCCCTGGAAGTGCCCCGTCGCTTCATGCAAATACCACAACTATGGCTGGCCAACCGAGAAGGAGATGGATCGCCACCACAACGACAAGCACTCGTCGGCCCCGCCCATGTACGAGTGCTTGTACAAGCCCTGCCCGTACAAGTCCAAGCGGGAGTCAAACTGCAAACAGCACATGGAGAAGGCCCATGGCTGGCAATACGTTCGCACCAAGACCAACGGCAAGAAGCCCTCGAGCGTTGCCGGCAGTGTTACCCAGTCCACCCCTATGCTCAACCATATGCCCACTCCCTCTACAAGCAGCGCCGCTACCCCGCCTGCTCCTTTGGACCAGGCTCAGCAGTTCAACTTCAACGACCCTCTCCTGGCTCCCATGCACCCCATTGGTCCTGTTGGCGACTTTGCTTCCCACATTGATGGCATGGAGTTCCCTTCCTACATTTCGGATGAGGAGTTTGATCAAATGGTTGGTCAGGGTGGATTCGATGGACAGATGGATTTGGAGATGTCCCTGTCTCCCTCCGACCACAACACCCCTGCCACCGAAATCTCTACTGGCCCATACATTTACCAGGACGGTCCCGACTTTACAGTGAACGAGGACATCTATGGCGCACACGCTCAGATCCCCACCCCGGACAGAGCCGTCTTTGCTCAAAAGGAGTTGAACATGGCTTTCCCCATCTACCAGCCTGTTCCTGCTTGCCAGCCTCAGATTGCCCCTGCCCAGACCGCACCACACATCTCTCCTATTGGCCAGGGCAACGCAATGCTCTTCACGCCTAACTCGTTGGCCGAGGTTGACGAGGGCTTCGAGGACAACTACACTAGTGGCGGAAATGAGTTTTGCGGCAACGACTTCCAGCTATTCCCCGCCAACAACGTGACCAAGATGTACGAGCCACTCTTTGGTGAAGTGCCAAGTGCTGGCTTGGGCTACTCGCAAGCGTCACAGGACCCTTTCCAGTCCATCGACTGGAACCTGGATTACCAAAACTTTCAAAGCCAGTAAATGTGTACTAGAGCTTGGTGCGTTGGAAACTGGTGATAAAAACGTTGATCTGGCGCGGGGCCAGCTAATGATTTGATGACTGGATGGGATGGGCCTCACAGAGGTCCGAGGAAGTCGAATGCTCGACTTTTCCTCTTTTGCGTACTTTGTATTATTGATCTCGCACATCTACTCTGCTTGCTCTGAGGGTTTCTCATTTTTGATTCACATGAGATTGATGATAGAGAGGATGATTTTGTGTGGCGGGATATGGGGTGGTTGGGTAGCCAGACTTGAGAGTCTCTGGTTTGAAACCCCACGATTTGAGGAAGAGGGTCTAGAGACATATCTCGCTCAATTTGATATGGCATTTTTGAAGTCACAAAAACAAAAACGTCTCTGAGTGTCCGTTGAGCAAGGCTATGAGATGGTACACTGAATTCACTGCCACTCCGTAGTCTCGTGTTCACTGATGGATAGTTTGCTCTGGGTTCTTAGAGGCCAAAAAGAAGAAAAAAAAAAGAAAGAAAGAAAAGACATCAACGCCAACACCAAACACAACAACGGCAAAAACATGGAGCAAAGGCACAGCAGCTCTACCATGGAATAATGAGACTTGGGAACATAGTGCTCCGAAACTGATTCGGGTCTACGCGGGGAGAGGCACATGAATGACGTGGTGGTGATAGCTATGAGTCTTTGCGGCGAAGTCCAAGTTGTTGTCTTACTCCCCCCCCCCCCCAGCGTCAGACGGGCAACACGGGGAAGGACCCGGGTGTGGTAGATTTGGCCTCACCTTGGGGACCGGCTGCGAGACATGGACTTCAAAGGATGGATCTGCATCTGCATCTGAACACGATAAAGGTCTTTTTTTGGGGCAGAGGTATTGTGGAAAGAGCTTTTGGATTTTTTTCCTGAGTCAATCTTCTCCTTGCACAGGGTTTGATTGCTTGGGCAGAGGCAGATTGTTGATGGTCACATTTGAAGGAACAAAAGTAGATAGATAACCCCCCCCCCTCCCCCCCAACATCCCCAAAAAGTAGATAGGATCAAATCTCATTGCTTATTGTGTGAGACACTATGTGTTCAGTTCAGCTTGATTGTGACCTTTGGATGTAGTGCGGTGCAATGCAGTGTATGTAGGTAGGTAATGCCATTGTCAGCAATGTGGCCGTTCGTGCCGTGCTCGTTGCCCGTTGGGCCGAATTCCGTCCGAGTCGGGACTTCGGATTCAGTCTATGTGTCGAATGACATGATAGCACCCAGGTTTCCCCGGGATTACTATGCATACATGAAATGGGGAGAGGCTCGACTTTAGCATGGGGCCCTAATTGCTACCCTTAGCTTCTGAGAGTGTGTATATTGTCGTGAACAGTGATCCCGGGGTGAGAGTGGTCGTTCCTGGAGCACGTTGCTGCCTTAGGTAAGCCGACCTTTTTCTGAAGTGGTCCCTGCTCCAGCTCTGGCAGCTGCCGCTGCCGCCGCTCAAGAGCTCCCGTCCCCGGTGCCCCCACCTGGGCGGGCTCGTCACCTTTTGTCCAAGAAAAAAAAAAAACCGCGGCTGCGAATTTTTCTTTCCAACAACTTCACCTTCACCTTACCTCAACCTCGTGGTACCGTCACCTCAGCACCCGCGACCTTCGACCTCGACGCGAGCGTTACTTTTTGTCTCTTTTCCTTTTCAGACTGTCATGCAGAATATGCAGTTTGTTTTAAGTCTGATAGGGGAAAAAGGTAAGCTCCATTTCTATTCTACATCTTTTTTCGAAATACTTCCCCCCCCTTCCATAGCACGCAAGCTTGGGGAGGAGGGGGAACAGACCATGATATGATGAATCCATCAAAACCTTTTATACTCATAGGAAGAGCCGTCTGAGACGCCCCGAGCATTCCAAACAAAATCAGGCGAGGATTCCGGGTGGGGAAGAAGAAGGGGAGAAGGAAGAAGGAAGAGAGAAAGAAAAGGAAAAGGGAAAAGGAAGAACGGGGGAGGACCGTGGCACATAATCTTCCAACTCAAACTTGCCTCCATGCAAGCGCTGCCCGCCGGAACCGATTACTCGCCGACAAAAAGTACACCCTCCTTATTCCAAACCCTGAAGGCGCACTCTCCACTGGGAGCTCTGCGCCTTTTGGGGAGAAGTGGTCGTGCTGTTCGGTGTTTGTAGGAAAGGGGATGTTTGGCAGCGTGGAGTGTTTCGTTTTGGATTGGAAGAGTCGTGGTTTTTTCCCCCTAAGTATTCTTTTTTTCATTTTTTTTTTTCATATTTCTCTTTTTCGGACTTTGGATTCCCTGACTTTTCTCTTTCCTGGGTTCTTTCTTTCTGTTTTTGGCTCCTTGGCTTCGCCTCTCGTGAGAACCTCCTATCTTAAACTTCGGCGTTATTGGGGCCTGGGGAAGTTTGCATCGTCATGTGCTGTCCTTGGGTTCTTGTCGGGGGGGTAGGGGGCGGCGAGGGGTGGGGTGGGAACGTTGTGCTTTTAAATCGGGTTTCTGACACTTGGTCAACAAAAATTGTTTTCTCCTATTTTGCATTGAGTTGTTTCTTGAGGAATTGTTTTACTGACTTGGTGTTGTTAGAAAAGTTACGCGAGCGTCGTCGTTGGAAGGCTGGGATTGCTGAGGTTGGGAATATGAGGAGTGTCGTAGAGTGGCATTATGGTCTGGAGAGGACCGAGGTAGGTCAGATCGAGAGCAATACGATGAACCATCTTCATTGAATCATTTAGTCCCTTGTGCTTGTGTCCTTTAGCCAGTGATGTTCCCTTGCCGTCCTTATACATTGTGATCCATGACCCGTGCACAAACGACTCCCAAGCGACCCAAAAGCCATATCACTCATCGCTATCACTATCAAACACCGGCCGCCTCCTTTGCAGCCGTCCACCTCCCTGCGCTCGCGGAGTAGCATCCACGTCAGACCCATCATCCTCTGGATCAACGAAACCCAATACCTTCTTCCCCTTGCTGCTCATCAGCACGCCATCAAGGTCAGGCAGCGAATCTACAGACTCCTGCGTCCCTGGAAACTCAGTCGGTACGTAATACGGCCGAGCGACTCCCTTGGGCCGCGGCCCCGCGGAAGAGATAATAATGGGACTCGTTGCGAGCGTCGACGACGTCGGCTGAATGCTGGAGACGGGGTGATCGTCCGAGACGACAAAGTCCAGCAGGTCGCCTCCGCTGTCTGAGCCGTCCGTCTCCATCGCGTCGCTGTCCCTGTCGCAGGCATCGCCTAGTTCGTCGCTGTTGATGCCGCCGGCGACCCGCTTGGAGGCCTTCTTACCTCGTCCCCTTCCTGCGGTCTTCTTCAGCGGGCGGCGGGGAGGCGATTCCTCGTCCATGGTCTCGTCCATTTCATCGTCGACGACTAGGGCTGAAGCGGACGTGACTGCTGTGCGCTTTGTCGTACCGGTCGATCGGCGTTTTTTTGGCCGTGATTCCTCAATGAGCTCGTCTTCGTCGGTCGACACTGCCGTCGTGATTTGCCTTGGAGGCCCAGGGCCCGACGCTCCATCTTCTGTATCGCTCGCAAACGACGGTACAGGTATCTCCTCGTACCGGGTTGTATCCTCCTCACCAAAACGGCGCACCCAACGATTTCTCTCATCTTGATTCTTCGCAAACTTCTGACACAACTTAACGTACCTTTTGGTACGCTGACTGTGCTGGACCTTGCTGACCGGTCGAAGCCGGCGCTGGAGCAAGGGGTACGATGTCAGCTCCGGCATCTCTGTCTCTTCAATCTTGGGCCGACTGGCAGGCAGCGACCGGTACACCTTGTCCAACTCGGCCAGTTGCGCTTCTGTGAGCACGACCGAATCGAGCGAGGGTACGTCGGTGATGAAGTCAGCCTCCGTCGGCTGTTGCTGTTGCTCTTGCTTTTTGGGGCGGCCTCTTTTGGGCGCCGCACCGGGTTTGCCGATGGCGGATGCTTTCACGAAGCCCATCTCGACGCCGTCAGGCATGTGGAACTTCTTAGGCGGCAGTTTCTTCCTCGCCCTGCCCTTCTTGGGCTCCGGGAGTGACGGGTTCTGCGTGTTCTCGATGGGGATCTCGATATGCTGCATGTCCACCTCCGGGCGGATCTCCCGAGGTACGATGCGAGTGGAAAGGTCGTGACGGAAGTTGAACTTGCTCCCTTCGCAGATCAACTTTTGCATCTCCGCATAGTTGTCTTTTGACCTGGCAAAAGCATCCTCTTCCTTGCCCCTCATCAACAAGAGCACAATATTTCCAGCCCTCTTTCGGCCCGTTCTACCCATTCGTTGTAGCATACGAATGGGCGAGGACGAGGCATCGTAGCAGACAATCAAATCGACCTGGCCAATGTCCAGTCCCTCTTCTCCGATGGACGTTGCGACCAGAACGTTGTATTCGCCATCCTTGAACTTTTGTATCGTCGCAATCTGTTCGGCCTGCTTCATGCCGGCGGATCGCTTCGAGTCGGCTTGTCCCACGAAGACAGTGGCCTTGATCAGCGGTTTGTGGACATTCAGTACCTTGACAATATCTTCAGCACTGTCTCTGTACTCGCTGAACACTATAATTCGAGTGGAGGTTGCACCGGCATCCATGAAATGGTTCAGGACAGTGTCCTGGAGAGCGGCGAGCTTGGGGTGACCCACGAAGCCGTCCAGGTGAAGCCACTTTTCCACCCTGGTCATCATCTCCTGGAAGCTCGAGTCGTTAACAATTTGCTTCTTGTACTTGGAGCCCTTCTCTCCCTTGTCCTCAATTTCGCTTCGAAATTCTTTGAGGTTTTCGTAAAAGGGCCTGATGCCATGGAAGTTGAGTAATTTGATCGCGTGGGCCAAGCTTTGCAAAATGCTGAAGATAGCTCTCATCATGAACTGCACCCCAGGATTGGCTCTTCTGCCGACGTTGGCGAACCAATCTTGTTGCTGCTTCACCAGGCCATATGTCGTAATCGCCATTGGATCTCTTCCGTAGTAAATGTTTTGCTGGGTCAGCTTGTCCATCAACGGTTTCAGGGCTTTCGTGAATAGCTCCTTGATCTCGCACATCTCATCCGAGGGGTCGAGTACTACTTGCTCGACATTCCTTGAATGAACGTATTGACGGATATCGATCGAATCCTCTGTGCGGATCTCGATATGGGATATTCCGAGATTGTCGATAATCTCTTGCACAGTCTCGACCTTCGACCCTGGTGTTGCTGTCAAGGCGAGTAGGCGGAAGTAGGGATTGTACTGGCGTATTCTCTTCACCACTTTTGCGTATGCGTACTCGCCCGTTGCCCGATGAGCCTCATCAATTACCAGAAGTACAATAGATTTCGGATCTGCGTAACCGTGTGAAATGTCGTTTTGAAGAGTTTGCGGCGTCATGAAAAACACTCGCTTTGACGACCATTCGTCTACTCTGAGAGCGGGCGCCGTGTCGCCAGTGAGAAGAGTGGTCTCTGACCGGGGTATGCCCACAATATTGAAGCAAGCGTCAACTTGTTGAGCTACGAGAGGTTTCGTAGGCGCAACAAACACGATTTTTGCGTCCTTTGTCCAACGGTAGTAGTTGAGCATCACCGTTGCAGCAATGAATGTTTTGCCGAGACCTGTAGGTAGCGCGACGAGTGTATTGTTGAACAGACCGTTTTTGACGATACTGAACTGGTAATCTCTCGTGGCTCCCAGGTTGGTGGGATATATCCATGTCTTCATGGCCTCACGATCCATGGCGTGCTGAGAAGGGGCTTCCACTGGCTTGTCCCCTCGGTAGACACGACCAAAGCCTGGCTGCTGCGGCTGAGTCGAGGCGTCATCTGCCACTCTGCCGCCTAGCAAAGTTGTCTGGCGGAAATTTGATGATGAAGTGCGTGTTAGTCCGTTTCTGGCGAGTGGTACAACAGGCTCCGGTGAAGAGGAGAATGCGTCTGAAGGCAAATCATCCAACTCGGTCCCAAGAGGCTGAACCACTGTCTTTGCCATGTTCTGAAGTGCTTATCAGCACATGCTTTTCTCGTGAAAGTCAATAAGCAAGCCAACTTACTCTTGGTCCTCCACTAAGACCAGATGACTGAGCTTGACGTCCAGCATTGGCCCGGGTACAAGATGAGGCCAGGGCTTGGGCAAGAGACGACGTTCTGCCATTCTGTAAATTGATACCCGAGCTCGCGGGTATGGCTTGGCTCTGACTAAGTGCCTCAACCAAATCCTCGTCTGCGAGATCGTCATCGTATTCGTCTGAATCCATTTCGCGGAGAGTGATTGGTACTCAGTCAATCAGACACTGATTCACCTTCGAGATGCGATCATGGTGTGGCCTATTTCTGAAAACGGCGATCTCACGATGCTGAGGACTTGAACGAGGATGTCCGTAAAATAGTCGGGACAGCGGTCAAAGGCGCGGTGGCAACCTCTTTACGCCTAGTACATCACTTTCACTACAGACGCGTCGTCGCGCGAAAGCGTATCTGAGTCACATGACTATGAGTGCTTATGTAATTGGAATCAGAGTCGAGAGCTCAAGCTCAAGCCTTCAGGGTCTTAGGCGGGGCAGAGGATGAGGTACCTACTTTGGTGCCCGCCCGACCCTGAGACCAATTCGCAATGCTTTGTACTTATTCCCTCCCAGGTAAAGCTCCAAGGAAGTGACACTCAGGCGTCATTCGTTGTACTCTCGTGAACTGTTGTCTTTGTGATTGCCGTAGACTCATCAAAGGCCTCCCCTCGCTCATTCGCGGCGACACTGCTGTGCCAACCATCAGCGGTGGGTAGCTGACACGTGGGTGACCAAACAAGGGAAACCAGGTAGGCATTTTCGTCTACTTCCTGAATGGAGCTTTCCCAAGGCATTACTTGATGACTGTTCCTGTACGAGACCGTACCTTACCACTACGTAGACTATATAGGCAGCCATAGGAAAGAACCCAATATCCAATGACTTTCTTTACATCCTACGTGCCTGCCTTCTTTTGATTATGTAAGGGGACAAAGTATATAAAGTGAGGCGCGTGGCTGGCCAAGACGGAAACCGGCTAGTCCTATTTGAGGGAGGTCGCATGCGACCGGAGCGTTCCTGCCTGTGTGCCTGCTGGAGGAGGTCTGTAGTGGGGCTGACCCAAACGTCACTGCTTTTCGCGACCGACGAATTTCTTCACTGTTTTCACCGTCACCTCATCACTCACCCATAACCTGCGACACCACGCCTAAAACCGCGCATCCTTTGTAGAGATCCGCATCGACGGCTCTCCTACATTCTTCTTTGTCGAGGGCTCAAAACGATACCGATTTAAAATATTCTATTTACGGCGGTCCACGAGTCTGCGCCTTGGCCTATCCGGCCTTTGTCTTCTGGAGCTGTCTGCGACACAGCGAAACACAACCGTCTTTCGCTTTACACCAATCCAGAGAAGTTCTTGAGGATCCGAGAGGCTTTATTTGAGTTCTCCGGAAGCGCGCTGTCATCTCGCTCTCGCTCAAACGCGTATCCTTCAGCGAAAAAAACAAGCGAAAACAACCTAGGATTACACTCTACCCACGAACGTCCTCTACCTACAATCACCTCTAGCACACCTTAGTCATTGCACCACTCCAAATATGGCGCCTCCAAGAGCTCCTCGCGGTACTCCATCGGGACCAGCACGCGAGGGCCGCAACTCCACACTGGGTGCCAAAACCTCGCGCGGCGGTGGAATCCAGAAGCGCAAAGGTGGCAGAACCCAAACTGACAGGGATGGAGATCTCGACATGGGAAGCGGTGCTGGAGCAAGCAGCACTCGCCGTTCAAACAACCTCAACAGAGGACCGTCGGACGATTCCAACAATTCGAGACCTCAACGATCCGCGAGGCCCAATGGTCCCCCCACCAAGCCAGGCTCGAAAGTACACCAGGCAATTGCTCGACACTTGGATACTGGTGATGGAAATGACCTGGTATCGAGAAGGAAAGGACAGGGACCTGGTCTCGTCTGGCTCAGTGTCAAGGGTTTGAAGGAGAGTAAAGCTGCGAGCAACAACGACGGTGGACTGCGGGATCTGATCATGTTTCTGGAGCGGAAAGCCACAACTCTGTCCGGTCGCAATAAAACGGTGCACATCAAGAAGGTATGTCGAGTTGCTGTGAGGCTCGGGGGAACTACATAGGGACGCCGAATGATCCAGCCTCGTTGAAACGCCAGTTACTCCGCGAAACGAGAAACAAATAGCTCATACCGGCTGCTTATGCCCCCTCCTAGTTGGGGTCAAGTTTATAAACTACGAAAATCGCTAACATTCAATAGTCAAGTCTGAAGGGGGATTTGGTCAGTGTTGCGGCAAGCAAGGAAGATGCGGAAGAAATCTTGAAGGTCAACACCTTTACATTTGCCGGTATTCAGCTGGAGATCACCGATAGTGAAGGATCCATGGCCAAGGCAAATGAGGCATCTGCTGCCGCGCAAGAAACAAAACAAAAACTCCAAGGCATCATGTCACTCAGATATGATATGGAGAACAAGCTTCTGCGACTTGACGCTCTGAACCAAGATGAAGGCTTGATCCAGATGGGAATGCTTGAATCCAAGGATAGAGCTGAGAAGCTTTTCAAGGTCATGATGAGAATCTGCGATGAACTTTTCAAGACAGCAGAGGAAAAGATTGATGCAATCCACAGCATCAGCTTGGCCAACAACAACATTGACACAGTCGCGCAAGTCGAGGAGATGGCGGATACCTTCCCTGATCTCAAGAATCTTGATCTTAGCGGGAACCAGATCGACAACATCGCAGGCCTGTCAAGATGGAGATCAAAACTCAAGAAGCTTGAGACTCTGTACCTGACGGGTAACCCGATTCCGATCGCGGATCCCAAAGTCGTGCTCGAGCTGTTGCACTTCTTCCCCAAATTGCAAGTTCTGAACGGTGAGCAATTGACACCGGAACGAATTGCAGAACTCAAGGCAGCTGGCCGCCCGAAACCGATCCCTCAACGCGGGCCCGACTTCCGGGACGCCAACGGCATTGGAGAAGCCTTCCTATTAGAATTCTTCGTTGGTTTCGACACCGACCGCACTGCTCTCCTTACCAAGTACTATGACGACAACAGCCAGTTTTCTCTCGCGGTCGACACGCGCGCCATTCGAGACGAGAACCAGCCGCAGCCGATGCCCTGGTCATCCTACATCAAGCAGTCTCGCAATCTGATGAAGATCACGACCCCGGCCGCTCGAGCTGCCAGGCTGATCACGGGCAGAGAGGCAATCTGGAACCTGTGGAACGAACTCCCGAAGACACAGCACCCGGATATCAAGGCGGACATCAGCAAATACATCATGGACTGCCATCTCCTGCCTGGTCTCGCCGACCCTTCCGGCCAAACCCAAACCGGTGTGGACGGCATGATCATTTCAGTACATGGTCAATTCGAAGAGTGCGACAAAGCTGGCAAGACAGGACTGAGAAGCTTCTCGCGGACATTCGTTCTGGGACCCGGACGCCCCAACACCAACCCGATCCGCGTCGTCAGCGACATGCTCTCTCTCAGAGCCTTCAATCCCCTCCCGAACGTCTTTGTTGCCGAAGCCCAAGCACCGGCTCCGTCTGCTCAGGAACAAGAACAGCGACAGGCCATGATCGTCGAGCTATCGAAGCAGACGACAATGACACCCACTTACTCGGAAATGTGCCTGTCTGATGTCGCGTGGGACTTTACCAGAGCCTTGGCAGTCTTCCACGAGAAAAAGGTAAGAAATCCCGAAACCTGGAACATTCGAAAACCAATACTAAGCCTCGCGTAGTCTCAATTACCACCAGATGCCTTTGCCAGCGTTTAGAAAATGCTGTGCTCGTCCCCGTCGTTCTGGAGGCCTTGAGGGGCCCGGAGGACATGGATGGATTAGGCAAGATCACGATGGGGCCGTACTAGTTGTGTACGACATCGGCCGTCTGGCCCATACGGAGCGAAATATTGAAAAAGAGAAAACCAAAAAGGAAGGGAGAAGAGAGAATTAAACTCCACACTCTTGTTAAAATGGCGAAGAATATTGGGAAGGTGTCCTGGACAATCGTCCATGGCTCGGAGGAAAGGAGGAATAGTCATTTACCCGAGGAGCGAGGTGGAACTAGATGGGAAAAATCCAGAGATCGGCTTGGCGATAGATTTGGGTGACGTTCCCGAACGGCATTCGTACCTACATACTCTTGGCCAAGAAAGAAAAAGCGAAGCGCATCATAGAGGCAGCGACGTCTTGTTTTGGTGTTTAAGGAAATGATTGCTATTACAGTCGGAGGGTGGTGGAACTTGAGAAATACCATTGAGATTGCTCGTCTACCTAAGTTGTTCATCATATTACCCATTCACAGTGACCGTGCTTACATCGACAATCTGATAGTGACTCAATTTACAACTTGGATTTACTTTGCCAGTCAAAGACTGAATACAGAGTAAAGAAAGGAGTTACCTAGGCACACGACGCCAAAGACAGACGTCATTGATGGATCCCCTGGGTCGTGGTGACATTTCGCAAATCACAGATTCGGCATGGACCACACACTCCGTAAACCAAAAAAAAATGCATATTTAATTACAAGGCTGAAAGACTGGTGATCCAAAGAAGAAAACTTCTGAGTAAACCAATAGGAGCGATGGGGTATGAGGCGATAAAGGGCCGAGTGGGAATTCCCGCAGGCGCGCGCTGGCTAATGAAGGTCATGAGATGACGAGGTGACGAGGAAGAGACCTTCTGCTTGTTTTTGAGTTTAATGAAGAGCGGCAAGGAAAGGTCAAGGGCACGAGGTTTTGTGGTTAGTAGCGTTCGCATTCGTCAGCGATGTCAGCGAGTGACATTCATGTATTCATGTTTCTCCTTTGTGGTGGAAAGGACGAATCGGATCCGAAGGGTGAGTGAGCACACGGAGTGAAACTTTCAATGAGTGTGTGTCCGGAGTAGCACCGTTGTGTGTGGCTTGATGAATCGGTTCGTAGGTGTGATTCAAGGACCAAATCTCGGGCGCTTACGCAGTGCCGGTAGCATCTTTTCGGCCGGCGCGAAGATCACATGCCCAAGTTCGTTCGTTCGTATTTTGACTCACAGACAAGAAAGCGGGTGGATGGACAGAAGTGCTGGGCGCACGCAAATCACAATTTGATCCTCGTGTCTTTTGATCCTTGGGGTGTGTGGCGATGCAGAAAGAGGCGATTGATTGATTTGATTGATTGGGGCGGGTTCATGCTGGGAAGAGGCCACTTCTGAATGATGATGTGCATTCGCCCGT